TTTCTTTCTTTCTTTTTTACGAGGGAGTCTTACCCTGTCACCCAGGTTGGAGTACAGTGGCGCAATCTTGGCTCACTACAACTTCTGCCTCCTGGGTTCAAGTGATCCTCCTGCCTTAGCCTCCCGAGTAGCTGGGACTACAGGCATGCACCACCATGCCTGGCTAATTTTGGTACTTTAGTAGAGACGGGGTTTTGCCATGTTGGTAAGGTTGGTCTCAAACTCCTGACCTCAGGTGATCCACCAGCCTCAGTCTCCCAAAGTGCTGGGATTATAGGTGAGAGCCACAATGCCCAGTCCTGGCATTTATCTTATGCTCTCTCTTTCTCTCATCACCAGATCAGTCTCCAAGATTTGCTAATTTGGGTCTATACATGTTAATCAAATTGGTCTTGTCTCTATTTCTCTTATAAAAACTCTAATATGAACTTCTTTTCCCTTCTGGGCTATAACAAAAGCCTCCAGAGTGATTTACTTTCCCAAGATTTTATAACCTTTTTAAGAAATTAAAAAAAAAAATTGAAATAATTCCTAATTACAAAAAAGTTTCAATACAGTACAAATAACTTTTGTTTTGAACCATTTGAATATAAGTTGTCAACCTGATGTCTAATCATCCCAGAGTATTTACTGTGCATGTGCTACAAAGACAATCTTCTATATAATCACAATATAATCATCAAAACCAAGAAATTAAGTTACATCACTATCATCTAATCTACAGATCCCATTAAATGTTTGCCAATTCTAACAACAGTGACCTTTATAGCAAAAATTAAGTCTTGTGCAGAACCATGTATTACATTTAGTGTTCATGCTTTTAATTCTTTCTTTGACCTTCATTTTTGAAAATAAAGTCAGTTATTTTGTAGACAAATCTTAAATTTTCAAAGCAAATCTACAAGTTGGACTTATTTGATGCTTCCTTCTGATTGGATTAGGTTATGCATCTTTCCTAGAAATGCCACAGAAGTCATGCTATGCTCTTCTCATTGCATCCTCTTAAGTAGTGTATGGTTTTCCCATTACTAAGGATGTTCACTTTGATCATCTTATTAGAGCGGTACTTGCCAGGCTCCTCCCCTGTGAAGTTACACTTTTCCCCTTAGTAATTAAATGTTTTTATAGAAAGCTATTTTGTTACTAGGAAAACAACATTGTTTCTCATCTTGAACATCTCATCTAAACTTTAATTTACTTATTGATTTATGCCAGTATGAATTAAAATTTTGTTTTATCCAATGGGTTACAATTGATTACTATTATAATTATATAATAGTTAAAACTCTCCCAGATTTGACACTTTAATATGCATCTCTGTCCTTTTTGTTACATGTTCCCATCATTCTTTGAGCACTTCTGCTTACTTTAAAGATGTTCTGGATTCATCTTATACTTTCCCCACCCTATCCCTGGAATCAGGCTTTTTCTCCAATGACCCCTGATTCCTTTGCTTGAATATTAGAATTTAGAAATTAAGATCTAGGTGTTAGGTATGCTTAATGCTTTGGGGGTCACTTTCTACAGAGCCCTGGCAGAGCTAGGAAATATATGTATGTATGTATGTAGATGCATATATAGATATAGATATAGATATAGATATAGATAGATGTATACAGATACATATTTATATATATACTTATTTATTAAAATTCTTAATTTCCAATGCTTCTAATTCTAATTCACCACCGTAAGATTCATGTCCGTTTTTTTCCTTTACATATTCGTACTCCATTTCTGACAGTGAGAAAACTAGCCCCCATTATCCATAATTAATTTAGTTTTTTTTTTTTAATCAATCCTCCAGTGTGCTTCCAATCTCCCATCATTGTCTTTAGCCCCTACCACACATAGGTGCCCTCTGCACTCTGCTTAGACTTAGACACTCAGATTTAGCAAATAAAAATAAAGGATACCAGGTTGCATCTGAATCTCAGGAAGCAGTAATTATTTTCTTAGCATAAGTCTGTCCAATGCAATATTTGGAATATATTTATGCTGAAAAATTGTCTTGTATTAATCTGGCGGCTTAGGAGCTGGCCCTCCACTTGAACACTCTCCCACCCTGCTCAGACTTTGAAACCCAGCTCTGGGTTTCTGCATATGTGGATTCATTCTGCATATGTGGATTCAGGCCCCACTAGGGCCCTGACCTTACCCATGTCAAGTTATCTTCCCCACAGTAAAACTTTCCTCACCTAATTTGCATTCTGACACCTCATGTGTGATTGCCCCTAAGCATGGATGCCCGCTTTACTGGCTTAGGTTCTGAAATCTCTTCTCAGCCCAACCAACGTGGACTCTTCTTATTCTGCTTGGCCTCCAACAACCACTGCCAGACCATCCTCCAGGGATGCCTTCCCTACTGGCTTAGACTCTCCCTTCCATCCCATGTTGATGCTCTCCTCAACTTGTTTGGGAACAGATGCCACATGCTGAGTCACCCCTGCATGGACATCTTATTCTGCTCTGGCTCTGATACCCCAAGCCAGACCTCATGTATGGATAGTTACTTGTTTCCGTGAGGGTTCTGACTTCCCACACTTGGTCACACTCCTAGGTAGACAGCATCATCACTTTGCTTAGGTTTCCTTCCCACGCCCACTGCATTTTCTGTGCATCCTTTGTTATTCTGTTTAGGCTCTGACATATCTCCTCTGGCTGCCCCTCTGTGTAGATGACTATCTTCTCCTGCCCTGCCCAGTGACTTCAGGATTGAATTTTTCAGAAAAAGAAAGACAAGGAAAAGAGGAAGAGCAAGAATTTGCATCTTGATTCAAGTGAAGCAAAAGCAGAAATGTGAGGGTGGACTCGTCCCTGCAGTGGTATTATAGTAAAACTGTCCACTAGTTTTTGTTATTGTTTTATCTTTAGCACAAGAGCTTAATATATTGAGGAGGCTGAGGTAGAAGGATCACTTGACGCCAGGAGTTCAAGACCAGCCTGGGCAACATAACAAGATCCTGTCTCTGCAAAAATTAAAACAAATTAGCTGGGTATGGTGGCACACGCCTGTAGTCTTAGCCACTTGGGAGGTTGAGGCAGGAGGATCATTGAGCCCAGGAATTCAAGGTTACAGTGAGCTATGATCATGCCACTGCACTCCAGCCTGGGTAACAGAGCAAAAACCCTGTCTCTTTTGTTTGTTTGTTTTTAAAACCCATAATATGCTATTTACTTATTATCCAAATTTATCTCCTACCACATTCCTCTAAGCATTGTATATTTCAGCTATAGTTATACTTTTAGAATATATTCTCTCATGTTTGGAAAAACTAAAAGAAAAATGTAATGAAACCGTATTTTCCACTTTTCACTTTCTAAATATTTGGAGGAGATTTCAGCTTTTTGGAGGAAAAACGTAAAGAAAATGGTATTAAATATGTGCTACTTCATAAATATTTTGGAACACACTATCCTTTAAAGCAGTTATCAAATAGGCTGCTGTTTGGGAATAAATTGTGAAGCTTTTTCAGGGTATAACTGTTGTTCTCATTTCTTCTTTCTGACACTCCAGTATGTCCTTAGGGGAAGGAATAGGGTTAAGATAGACAAGGTTCTGCAGTTTAGAAAAATATAAAGATGATGCTGTGTCAACCATCCTTTGATAACATAACAGTAGCATTCTGATCAAAGGAATTATATTAACATAACAATAGAAACCAGTGTTTAATCACTTATTTTTCTTGTCCAATTCATTACGTTTTTTTTTTTTTTTTCATATTTAAGTTATTTTCTTTATCTTACTGCATAGAAAATCTGTGCATTTGTCACGTCTGCCACATCGAGTGCAAAATGTTCCTGGTTCATAAGGTCTTCTCGTCAGCGTTCCTCTACAAACAAAAAAGCAGAAAATATTTAGTTACAAAAAGCTTTAATTTTTTACATGTAATTTAAATAATATAGTTACTAATTTTTAATTAGGTTAAAAAGGTGAGTTAAGAAAATGCACTTAAGGAAATAACTTTAGAGATTCAATGTTTCCCTTTTGTTCTCCCCCAGAAAACAGTCTTTTCTGAAACAAATTCCCATGTCCTTGAAACAAAGTATTATAATTAAATGTAAGAATGGGTTTTAAAGCTCCTTTCATTTTAGTTTATAGCAAAATGTATCTTTTAAAAATGAATAATATAGGCTAGGTGTGGTAACTCCCTCGCCTGTAATACTGGTGCTTTGGGAGGCCGAGGTGGGAGAATCTCTTGAGACCAGGAGACCAGCCCGGGTAACATAGCAGACCTTGTCTCTTCAAAAATATTTTTTAAAGAATTAGCCGGGCGTGGTGCATGCCTACAGTCCCAGCTACTCAGGACACTGAGGAAGGAGGATCACTTGAGTCCAGGAGTTTGAGGCTGCAGTGAGCTATGACTGTGCCACTGCACTCTAGCCCGGACAACAGAGCAAGGCTCTGTCTCTAAAATAAATAAATTTAAAAATTGATGACATAGAATGTTTTATAATTAATTGCTTTCTGATTGGCACAAATACATAAAAAGTTTTGTGGAAATGATATATTAAGTATCTGTAGAGTTAACAAAATTATGAAATGCCTATGTCCCAAAGACTCATCTGCATGAATTATTTTGGGGGTCTATATATAAAAACACATAAATTCATAAAAAAGCAAATAAATACAAATGGAAGTTTACAAAGTTGATTTAATCCATTGTACAAAACTAAAGAGAGAAATAAAAAATAATTACATCAATTGCCTAGAGCTAAATGAGAAAAAAGGCCCCAAACTACTTATAAATTGGGAAATTTATATAAATGATCTAGGATAAGAAACATAGAGAAAACAAGTAGAGAAAAGATACTTTTGAATGGGGGCAGGGTCATTAATCCTGGTAATTTATTCAGGATTGCCTATTTACCTGTTATATAATTGAGAGCTATACAAATAAACATGACTTATTTAAGTCCTTGATTAGGCCTTATTAGGCTTTCTAGAACAATGGCCAAGCCTAAGAAATATATATTAAAAAAAACCTGAGTATCACATTTCTCAGACATATCTTATTTAATCAGAGAGTTTGGGTGATATCCAATAAGGCATCTGATACCCTTGAATTGGAAGCATTCAAGTCCACCAGGAATACTGATAGCAGTGATATTTTGAGAAAGGTTATCTATGCATGGCATAGACCTCAAAACTTGTGAAAAAAACATTGATACTATTGTTTCTACAGTAAAACAAAATATCATTTGACAAAAATGAATTGCATTTTAAGTCAACAGTTAAACATCAAACTGGGGAAATATTTGTGAATTACTTTACTTAAATGGAATGTGCAATGTCTATGGCACACTTACAACAAAATTATATGTAATTAAATGAAAGGTCCTGTAGTCAATTCAGATCCAACATGCCTAAAAATAAAAAAGTCCCTTTCCCTCAACCCTGTATATTTTCCTAGCTCAGTTAATAAAATTACCTATCAATTAAGCTGAGATTCTTATGGTCATCTTTTCTAATATTTGAGTTCTAGAGTAATCTAATATTGTTTTATTTTACTTTTTAAAATTGTACTTAAAATGTGTGAGTTTTTATTTTTGAAAATAAAAATAAGGACTAGCAAATAATTATGTGTTTCAGTTTTAAAAATATTGTTTCAGTTTTTTTCAAATACATTATAAACCATTAATGTAAAATGGAAGAATAAAACAGACTTGGTCATGCATACAGAAAATAACAAGTCAAAGCAACAGATATTTTTATACAGATATATTTACAGATTAGGAACATTTTCTTCTCTTTATTATTTCTTTTTCCTTGGCTCTTCTCTATTCCTTAGAAACACCAATTTGTAGATTTATATGCCATATGTATTGGCATATAAATCTACAATTTTTTCATATATATTTTGACCTCTATTCTTCACCTTTGTGTTTCTGAGAAAAATTTGCAAGGTTGCTTTGACTTGTTATTTTCTGTGTGCATAACCAAGTCTGTTTTATTCTTCCATTTTTACGTTAATTTCCTGTATCTATTTTAACAAATTACCACAAATTGGGTGGCTAAAACAACATAAATGTATTCTCTCACTGTTCTGGAGGCCTGAAGTCCAAAATCAAGGTGTTGGCAGGGCTGTGCTCCCTCCAAATCTTCTAAGAATATGTTCCTTGATTTTTCCAGCTTCTGGTGGCCTTAGCTCCTTGGCTTGTGGATGCATCACTCTAGTTGCTTCAGCTGTGGTCACACTGCCTCCTCCTTTTCTGTGTGTCTAGTGCTGAATCCTCCTCTTTTCTCTTACATGCATACATGTAGTTGCATTTAGCCCTAACCCAAATAATCCAGGATAAACTCCTTCTCTCAAGATCCTTATCTTAATCACATCTTTGCCATATTAGGTAATATTCACCCTTTTACCCTTTAAGTAGTATTGACAGGTTCTGGAAATTAGAGACTAAACATCACTTTGGAGGGGGACACCGTTCATTCTGCTATACATTCTAATCTTCAATTTGGTTCTTTTACTTTCATTTCTACCCAGTATTTTATAATACTGTAATGAATTGATTTTTTGTTTTTTTTTTTTTTTTTTTTTTACCAACTATCCTTAAGAGGGATAATGTAATTGCCTATTTTGGGTACATAATCAAGTAAGAATTGGACTGAGTTGACTGACATATATTCCAGTCTAGATCCTTCAAGGTAGACTTGCCAATATTTGCATCAAAGGAAAAACGGTTAACAGAAATTTCAAGGCAAAGAAGCCTATGTGATAGGAGAGCGGCAAGAAAAAAAGGATAATTTCAGCAACTAGCAGCTTCGTCTTATCATTGTAGTCATCAGAGACCCCTGCACTCACCATTCTTATTAAGATCACCAAATACCTTCATCTCATCTAATGAAACTGTCAATTGTTCTTCCTCAATTTCTCATTTCTCTCAGCAACATCTCATATAGTTAACCACTTTGGGCTTCTTAGTTCACATTCTTCACTTGACTTCAAAGTACCTTACTAGTTGGTTTTTGGTTTCCCTCATACCTCATTAGCTTCTTCTCTTTCTCCTTTACTAGCTCTTTTGCCTTAGGTTGAAATAGTATAGCGCCCCAGGACCTAGTTCTTAAATTAAGTCTCCATATTTGCTTCCTTATGCAGTGATCTCATTCACTGTGACTTGTACTTCTGGGCCTTTATACCAGAAGTTTCCTCTCCTTAGAAAACAACTACATACTTTCATATAGCTATCTGCTTCTCATAATTCATTCACATTTCCTACATTTACTTTTTTAACCTAATATACCAAAATAGAAAACATATCTTTTGATCTTCTCTAAGTTAATGACATCACCATCCACCCAGTTTTTCAGAGTAAAGACATAGGCACAGTGTTGCTTGATTATTTTATTCAATTTATTGCTAAAGTCAAGCCAAATGGCTTGTATTATTAGCTCCATCTTCATAAGATACCCAGAAACTGACCTTTCTGCACCATTTCCATTCTAAGGTAGGCAGAATTCTAAGATGAATCACAAGATCCTCCACCTCTCATGTATACACCATGCATAACTCCCAGGAGAGTGAATATGACGAATTTTACTTTCTTAACTACATTATATGGCACCATTGAACTTAAAATATTGACATTATCTAGGTTGGTCTTGACTCAATCCTATGAGTGTTTTAAAAGGAGAGAGTTTTCTTTAGCTGGCCATGGAAGAGAAGTCAGAGATTTGAAATATAAGAAGGCTCTGACATACCTTTGCTGACTTTTAGATGGTGAAGGCCACGTGTCAAGAAAAACATGGGCAGCTCCAGAAGATGAAATAACACATGGCTGAGAGCCAGCAAGAAAACCGTGACAAGAATCCCATCATCATACAGAGCTAAATTCTGCTCACAGCCTGAATGCACTTGGAAGCAGGTACTTCTCCAAGCTTCCAGGTGAATACTTAGTCAACATCTGGATTTTGGCCTTTGAGATCTTGGGAAGAGAATCCTGCCACAGTGTGCCTGGGTTCATGACCTATAGAACTGTGTAATAATAAATGGGTGCTGCTTTAAAATCACTACATTTGTGGTAATTCATTATCTAACACTCAAAAAATAATCCACATGCTAAAACCCTAATCCAAAATACCAGTCTGTAACCTGTACAACAGGAAATAGCCTCCTAATTGTACTTCCTCTTTACACTGTTGGTTCTTTATATGCCATTCTCTACCAACAGCTGCAGTAATATTTTTGTTAAGGTGTTCTTTTCAAAACAAAAATGAGATCATGTGACTCAATTGCTTAAGACCTTCCAATGGCTTTGTCATTACTTAGAATAAATTCCAAAATCTTTAACATAACCTATGTTATTATATTTGGTCTAGCTTTCATCTAACTCTCCACCTCAACTCCTACCTCTAGCCACAGTTATTCCTTTCTCAAACATGATAAACTCATTCAAATCTCTGAGATTTTTATACATGGTCTTACTTCTACCTGGAACATCTGGTTTTCAGCTCAAATGATACCCTCCTTCTGTGACTACGCTATCTATCTTCTAGACTAGTCACTCTCTACTTGCTAATCTTGCTTGATTTTTAGAGTATATTTTGTCTAATTAAAATATTATGTATCTATATGTTCACTTATTAAAAAATGTTTGTCTCCCTGCCAAGACTATAAACTAAATGTGGTGTCTTTTTGGGTCTTGTTAGTAGAAAGAACAGAGCCTGTACATACTCGCTGAGTGAATAAATGAGGATTTGTGCCCCAGAAAAACTTCCACCAATGCCCTCCTCCCTGGTGTAAAATTCTCTGAATTTGCAACACCAATCAGTAGTAACTTTTAAAGTTTATGCATGTAATGGGCATCCCAATGCTTCCAGTGTGTAGAAAGGAAAGGAAGCCTAAAATGTTTTGCAACTCTATATTCCAAATTTATTTTGCATGTCTGTGTTCAAAGTTAGCAAGACTTCTAATCAGTAAAGGGCTTTCTGAGTTTAATTTGATGTACAGCATAGTTCTATTGTTTTTCTTAGCCAGAGAAATACAATCAATAACCGCTGCTTTTTTATTTTTCTTTCTGATTAGTCCCAAATCATTTTATTTGGCAGAAATTCTTCTCAATCTTGGTAGGCAGTCAATTATTATTGTTTATTTAAGATGTTAATCGGAATATTTTCTCACCTATTTGGAAGTTATACTATTACTTATAGTATTATATTGACCTGTAAGAAAGCTTGGGACTTTCCAAGAGAGCTCTCAAGAAATGGAAGCTATTTTGGGATGTAGTTATTTTCCACCACTGGAAGGTACTGAGGTATAGGGTATAGTCACATATGAATAGCTTGACTAAAAGATGTTTAAAGTGCTTTTCGATCTCTCAAGTGTTACAATTCCTTATGAGACTAGCCCCAGTTAATAATGCAATCTCCAAGGCGTGGTCAATTAAAAGTGTACTTCCTGTTACAAAACTGACATTATTCCTGCAACAATTCTTACTATGCAAATTTCAACACATCTGCTTTTCTTTCCACTTTTACTACAAATTTTAAAATAACTATTTTGGAAAACAATTTGTCTTACGCTAATTAGATGAAATATTATGAAATAATACTAAAGTTAAGGTTACTATAGGAAGCAATATTTGGCTAGTGTATAAGTAAAATCAGTATGTCCAAGTTATGACTTATTTCATTATAAAATTGATTAAATGCTTTTCAATGTAAAGTACTGTATTTATTTTATAGTTCAAAAAACACAAAAATATATTAAAAATTAGAAAAACTTAACCTTGAAATATTCTGAATTTATTTTATTATTTTATTAATTTTAAATAACTTACCCTGGTGCGTAGTTGCATATGAAAATTGCTGCATGTCTAATATGTCCAATTTTTGAACATGGAGTAACAGCACAACCAACTTTGTAAGAGTTGTCCCAAACAAGCTAAAATAATATTTTCAAGAAAGACACAAAATTTAAACTTACTCTCTCATATTATAAACAATAATATATTCCATTCATATATAACTTTTCACCAAGCAAATCAAGAAATATAAATTATTTTCATTTAGAGACATATAGAGGGTTACCACGGAGTTAGAGAAGCATTTTCAACACGGTATTTAGAGAAATACTTGAATAGGTTCTACTAATATCATATTCTTAGGAAGAACTGTTTGAGAACATGGTTGATCCAGAATAATGCCTCAGAGGAAGGAAGTCATGCCTGATCAATCAATTTTCTCTCTTTTTTTATTGCATTTTAGGTTTTGGGGTACATTTGAAGAACATGCAAGATAGTTGCATAGGTACACACATGGCAGTGTGATTTGCTGCCTTCCTCCCCTTCACCTATATCGGGCATTTCTCCCCATGCTATCTCTCCCCAACTCCCCACCCCCCACCGTCCCTCCCCCATTTCCCCCCAACAGACCCCAGTGTGTAGTGCTCCCCTCCCTGTGTCCATGTGTTCTCATTGTTCAACACCTGCCTATGAGTGAGAACATGCAGTGTTTGATTTTCTGCTCTTGCATCAGTTTGCTGAGAATGATGGTTTCCAGGTTCATCCATGTCCCTACAAAGGACACGAACTCAACATCTGGTTGAATTGAAGAGTTCTAGGTAATTGGCAGAGAAGAAGATAGGAAAGAGGAGAAAAAGTTTTAAAAAAGATGGAAATTGTGGAAAAAAGGGAGAAAAAGAGGGACAATCCAATTCTAGAAAAGAAAGATACAAAAGTAGAGAAGAATTAAATGCTATTGGCATTTCTCCTTCTCTTTGTTAAGAAAATTATATTACAAGATAAAACAAAATCTGGCCTTTACATTAAAAAATAAAAGAGCTGGTTCCTATTAAAGAGAAATAGATCTTGAATTGGAGTGAAAAAGATGGGAATAATCAAAGGCATTCCCAGATAAACAAATTATCTGTATAACTTTAATATTTCTAACACTTTCAAGTGAACAAAAAAAGTACTTGCTTTGTTTTGTTAACCTCTGTGCAAGAAAGAGGAACTATTCTTGTTTTCTCTTATTCTTTATCTCAAGCCTTAGTGGTTTTAAAAGTGTGATTCTTAAAAAATAAAATAAAGTGACACATCAAGAAGGTGATACATTAAAAGAATAGAGAATATGATATCTGCAAGAGTTAAAGTGAAGTTAAGCCCATCAAATGCAGGAATCAAAAATGTCTAGGAGACTAGAATTAAGGAGTAAAAATACAGAGTACTATGTTAGGGAGTAGATTTGGTTAGTTTACTGAGTATTGAAGTCATATTAAAGAGGCTGGGTTTGATGGGCGCAAGTCAGTGGAGAATCACTATGACTTTCTAGAAGAAAAAAGTGATCAGAAAAAAAACTAATGAAAAAATTCTGAAGTATGATTGCATGAAACAGAAAGACATGAGTTCAACATGAACAAATTTCAAGTGACATCAGACTCTACTGGTTGAAAAATTATCTTTTAAATAAATGTGGGAATTCACGCAATAACTTGCATGAACTTCTTGATTACTGAAACAAATATTTACTGCAAATATTTAATGTAGTTATGTTGAGAATATATGGATGAAAAGGCAAGGTCTCTGCCCTCAGTGTAGTATCAGACATATAAATAAATTATTATTAAACAATGTGATATGTAAAATAACAAATACTATGTATTAGAAATGAAAAGTGCTTCAGTATTCCTGAAGTTTGAGGTGTGACGGTGGATTATTGAACCAGAGGCTGGGAAATAATACTATTAATTTTCATTTCAAATGTTTTAATCAATCAGCTATATAGTAGTATGTGTACTGATATGTGCAAAAAATACCTTCTACTTATAAACATAAGTCAATAATTTATAAATTATTTTTATTTACTGGTTTCTTCCCTCCATTTCCAGTGTGCATTATTTTTAGGAAAGTGCCTTTCATCTTTGAATATGGAGATTAGGTTTACTGTATTTAAGGGAATGTTTTAATTGTTTGTGACAAAATAGATGGGATAGTAGACATTTTAAAGATCTAGGAGGATTGATTAGAATTGTGATCTTATTAAATGTAATAATTTATCATTTGAATTTATATACAAATTTGAAACATAAAACTAGGCATAAAGCAATTAAGAAGTCTTTGAATTAATAACAATAAAAATTAGATACCTGAATATAATTAGAACAGTTTTTAGAGCAACTGCCATTTGTAAAATTGTACATTTCCTTCTCTGCATACCAACTTCTTATAGCAATACTTGCAGTAAATTCATTTTCAAGGCCGACCCACATATTTTCACCAATACCGTAAAATTTAGGATGGGCCATACGTACACCTTGTAAATAAATATTATGCTCAAACACACACTTTTTTCCCCATGCTCTAGCAGTCCGTGACAAAGCTACATCCCAAGTCTGAAAAATATTCAAAAAGCAAAGAAAAGAAAATGTTAATAATAAGGAGTTTTTTGTACTCTAAAATATTTTTTCTTGAGTTCTTATCATTAGATTTAAAGGAAACAATTCTAACTTTGTACTTGTGCATCTTGGTCGAGAAATTTCTATGGTAAAAACTTTGAGATAATAAAAAATGAAATGACCATTTCCTGAGACAAAGGACTATAGATATATTTGTAATTAAAATATTAGAATGTTAGATGATGGAAATGATAATACTCTTACAAGAAGTGAACATGTAGTCTGTTCAGAAGTATGTAATATACTTACCTGTAGTCTGCTCAGAGCATATATTTTTAAATTCATGGCTTTTAGTACACAGAAATATAATAATCTAAAATATTATTCATTTAAGGGGTTATTTATTAAGTACTGATTATATGCAAAATATATTGTCAATAATAAAATGCTAAGTCAGCATAAATTTTGTCCTCGAATTGCTGTATTAGAATTATATATATTATATATATATATCTGATTATATAAGATTTACAAATAAGAGATAAAGACAGATGACAGAAAGAGAATACACACACACACACACACACACACACACACACACAAACTTTTAACACATGGTGTAGCTGGTGAATGTTACAAAAAAAGGCACATATAAAGTTTGTTGCAAGTTACTGGAAATAGGAGAAAATAGCATTAGATGCTGTTCCCTGCCTATCTGGAAATAACCAGAAATGTGTGCTTTTACCATTATTTAGAGACTCATTAAATTAATTGTTAGTTCAAGACAAGAACAAAAACCACATACTAGAAAAATCAGCAAAATAATGGTGAAACCAAAATGCTAAGTACACATATTACAGTGTATCTGAAAGTAAACATTTGAAAACCAATACTCATATTTCCTTAGAGCAGGAGTATATAACATTTTGGCTTCCCTGGGCCACACTGGAAGAAAAAGAATTGTCTTGGGCCACAGGTAAAATACATTAACACTAAGGATAGTTGACTTAATTAAAAACTCACAAAAGAATTCATAATGCTTTAAGACAGTTTACAAATGTGTGTTGGGATGCATTCAAAGCTGTCCTGGGCCATATGCGGCCAATAAGCCACAGGTCTGAGAAGCTTGCCTTAGAGCTTTCTTAGTAAATTCCACAAATTATACATAAATACAATATAGAAAATAAACATATCAGACCTTTAGAATATCTCTCCACTACTTCCCTTCCCCAAAGGTAACCATTATTAAAAAAAATCCCTGGGTATACATCTCTCTATATCTGTAAATACAAACATATACACACATTCAGATATAAGTTTGTCTGTTTTAAATGGGTAGTTTGTGACTTTTTTCCCTTGCACTATTGTGATTATACCATATATAATATTATTGGCCTGCAATTTTCAGTTTTCATGTACAGAGAGAGTTCCATATTAACATAACTAGATCTGCTTAATTTTTACAAGGTTTACATAGTATTCCCTAGCATGAATAGTCTATAATAAATGTAACCATTTCACTATTAATAGACTTTAAGATTGTTTCCCATTTGCAAACAATGCCCCATGGATATACTGCAACTGATTTATTTTGTATATAGTTCACATACCTCATCCTTACTATGTAGCAGTCACTATTTTAAGTGTATTTTATGTATCATCTCACTGAATGTTCCAATAACCCTAGGAGGTAGGCATTATTACACAGCAGGTCTGTCAGTGCCTTTTAGAGAAGGCCATTCAGGGCCCTCAGGCGCACATGGTCTTCCTTCCTGGATTTCTTTGAGGTGCTCCTTATGAGGAATTCCAACTTGGATGGTTTGTAAGTCAACTGCAAGACCAAGGAAGGGCCTTCATAGCAAAACATTTTTTTTTTGGTTTTCGAGGCAAATTTCTTGAGCCAGTTCTTGCAGGAGACAGCGGTGCGGTGCAGTCCCCGTGCGCAGTCCGAAAGAGCTCAGCATTGCGGCTGCCGGGCTAATGCTTTTTACCAATATTTGTGGAGAAGCATTTGAGGCTTTCTTTTGTCTTGATATGCAGTCTCACGGAGACTGTGAACTAATTTTAGGTAAAAGACTATGAGATAATCATATAGTTGTTTAGATATTTCCAAATCCTATCTGGGTAGATCAAATGTCTAGTCGGTTTTGTTATTTTTTCTTTTTAGTCTCACGTAGTTGCTTATAGGAGTTCCGAGCCTATAAGGGGCAAGGGATCTAAAGTTCAAGTGAATGTAGAGGCTGGTGTGAACAGGGTGAAGGAGGTAGGGGTCTGAAGGTGGACATATCCAGGGAATTGAAGGGAAGACCAAAGGTGGTACAAGGAGGAAGGAGGAGCAGAGGTGATGGGAAGGGAGGGGTCTTAGAGGAGCCAGTTTGCAGAGATCTGAAGTTTCTCAAAGTTCCAAATTATCCTTAGTTAAATTCACACACCAACAAAAAAGGATTCAGACAGAGTTGGTGGAGCACAGAGTTACCAGGATTTGTTGAGAAACATTGTTTACCCTGCCCCCATGGCGCCTTTATGGAGAATACCTTTTAGTTTGTAATTAGTGGAAGGCAGGTAACAGCTGCCAACTTGGTATATTCTTGAGTTATGAGTAAATGTAGAGCACCTGTGTATTAATAAGAATCACCTGCGTAAGAGCAAATAAAGAGATGAGACTCTGCTCGGGGCCTTCAGCCTGGAACACTGTCAGCCTCTAAGCTCTCAGTGTTGGTCCCTTGGATAGATCCACTCTGTTGTTCTGTCTGGGTGTCTACCTCTCAATACCTTCAGCACCACCTGGGTGGGGGTCTCCTGACTGAGCTGCTTCTCAGTAAGGGGTTAGCAAACTGAAATGCTCCCAGGAGAGAAGCAGAATCAAAGGGAGACAAGAAGTTCTCATAAGAAGCCAAGACAAATGTTCAGCCTAGGACTCAGAAAGTGAATCTCCCCACAAAACAGAGCCAAGAAGAAGGATTTCCACTCCAGGATTGGGGAGTGAATCCCCATTTGAAAAAAAGAACAGGAAATAAATTTCTATCCTAGAAGGGACCTTCCACACAAATAAGCCTAGAACTCTAATTCAGCGTCAGAGAGTGTACAGAAGCTTAAAAATCAAAATCTATCCTCACTGTGCTTCAACAGACAGTTATGTGGAGCACTGGCTCAGGAGTCAGACTCACCAATGGATACCCGGTCAAACAGTCAGGAGTGAAGACAAAGGCTTCAATGGTGTTCACTTGGGGTCCTGGATAAGAGGTCTGGGGATCCAATGATGAATCTGATACCATCTGAGTCACAGCAGTACCATAACTGTTAAAGGAAAAATTGCTTATGACACTTGTTAACACAGTGGAGAACTTTAGGGCTATTGTGGTAGGCGGCAAGACTATCATATTAGAAGAGAGAGAATGGGCTCAACTCCAAATACAGCAAGGACAAACAGGGATTACTAAAAGAAGACATTAAGGGTAGGGGGATTCTTGCTAAACTGACCTACAAAGATTCTTGCTGAAGGCAGGCCAGTGTGATTAGACCTCAAGGGCAGCAGATGCTGTCTAAACTGGGCTATGTGTGATTTGCAATAAAACTGGGCAATGTATACTTTAGGACAGGGCCCAAGGTCAAGGTCTATTTAAGAAGAAGGCTCAGAGTTTTTGTCAAAATATGGACAGTACTGATTTTGGAAACTGAACAAATTTAAGTAATGAGTTGTACACAATGTGACTGAGGGGGAGTAAAGGAAAAACATTAAGAGACTAGAGAATATTATTATTCTACATACTATCCAATATATATTCATAAATAAAATAGGTCTACATGTTTTCCTTTTTTCTCCTTGTTATGTTTATCACATTTGGAGATTTAAGTTATTCTAGATTTCTGAAATAAATGGAATCTTCTATTTTTTAAACACCGAGAAACATTTTAATATCACTGGAAATATCTGTTCTTTGAAGATTATTCAGAATTAACTCCATTGTTACCTAGGTTTGAGGCCTACTTAAAGAATAGACGTTCAACGTCTTGCTACTATCTTCTAAAGCATTGCCCTGTTAGGATTTTCTCTTTCTGGATTTATTTTGTCATGTATATTTTGCTAGAAAAACACTTATTTCATCTTGATACCTAATTTTATTAAGATGTTTGGACATAATGTTGTCTTATAGTTCTTGTAATCTCATCTGCATCTGTGGTTACAATTCTTTTTCTCCTAAAATAATTTGTTTTCTCTTTTTATCAGGAACGTGTCTATTTTTTTCCAGTTCTTTCAAATAAGAATACTTTTATTTAAAAAAATTATTTTTCATTAATTATACAGCTATTCTCTCATTGTTTCTTTTCTTTGAATTTTTTAGTTCACTTACTGTCAGTTTATGTAAAGTGACATTCACAATTTTCTTTTCCTTTATTTATGTCATGTTTTGATATTGTGCCCATATATTGGGGACATTTTGTTCTTTGTTCTTGATCTGAAGACAATTTGAAGAATGTTGCTTAGCTCCTAAGTAAAGATTCTATCAATCAACATTTTTTGTTCTTACCTTCTAGTTTTATTAAATTTTAATCAGAAATTTAGCCTGTAAAATCTCTACTTAAGCTTTTCTTTATGAGCAAGAAACAAGGACTTTTTTCTGTAAAAGCTTCATGGATATTAGAATCCCTTATTGACAGTACACAATTATTAATTTTGTTCAATTTTATTCATTGTTATATATATTTTTCAAATCTATTTTATAAAATTTTAAAAGAAGTGTAGAAAACATCCCACAATAATCTTGCTTTAAAAAATATTTCTTTGTATTTTTAGGAAATTTTACTTGATATATTTTCTATTTTGGCCAGTACAAAGGCCTTTATTTTATCTTCATGGATTACATCTTTTTTTCCCAATACATAGTATTCCTTTGTATCTTTAGTCTTCATTTCTATACTATTTTATAATATTATTTCTCTTTTTTAATTGAAAGTTTCATAATATATTTTTATTCATCTTTTAATTTTCAATCATT